CGAAATAATTGTTTTAAGTGTTATGGGTAAATTTTCACACATGTACATTTATTCATCTAACAAATGCCTTTGTAAGACGGACACAAATAAAATGGTACTCATCTTCAATATCAATAGTATTCTGTCGATGCCAATATCGTTTATTCTACAGTGACCGATTTCTACTTTATACAAAATCAAAAATCTATTGAAAGAATTATTTATTCAGGATACTTTGGTAATCATTTAATAAATAGGAAGTTAAATTTAATACCTATAAAATTCAAAATATTCACGGCTATAAATACCAAAGCATAGTTGCTGTACTAAAATCTAAACAAAATTGAAAAAAGTAAATGATTACATGTTTAACTTGGTCTATCTAACAAGTATAAAACGAGAAATATAACTGCTGAAAAATCAATTTCATATTTTAGCACAAATATCATCGATGTGAAAATAATATAATTATTAAAAAATAAAATGCTAAATTGCTCTTGTAACTAAGAAATAAAATAACTCTTAAGATGTTGTAAGAAGAGTATTTACATCATCTTTATTATATTGTTCAAGTTAATTGAAATATAACAGTTTCCTTGTTTTATTTCAAAGTTAAAAAAATGTGTTTTTTGTTGTGCTTTTCTTTTTTTTTTTTTTTTTTTTTTGCTTCTACAATTACATAAATAAGTATTCCAATAAACATGCAATTTTTCATAAAATAACTATTGAAGTCTATGACAAAAGCATTATATCACTATATTCATATACTTTTTAAGTATCAACTATTTGCAATTGTTCCTATTAATTTAGTCGTAATAATGCAAACTCCTAGGAAACATCGAACAAACTTCCAAAATGAACACCAATTATGATATAGTTAGACATTTACAAAATATCAATTAAACTGTATTCTTAATTTATATTAGATAAAAAGAGCTCCTAATACCTTAACATCTACGGTTTTGTTTACTTTAAAAATAATGAATGCTGTTAAACTGTTTATTTTTTAGTGTAGTTAACATTTGTTATAGTATTGTATTCAATGAAATAGTGTAGGCCAAAGTGAATGTCAAATACATAAACATACGCATACTGTTTTTGAAAAGAATGAACATTAAAATGTTTTAATTAATTATAAGTAATTATCCTAAAAAGTTCGTTAAAATCCTTATATTTCAAAAGATAGATTTAAAGAATAGTGTCATATCACCGTAACAGATGTTTTATAAGGCATTTTATTCAAAAAATTTAATTATACTATAGTCTATATTATTACCCCTCACTTTTTTCGTAATGCTTATTTCCCATAGGCCTCTGGGAGTTATTTTCAAGGTTAATGCAAGTGTACCACGTGACTAAGAATTTTGTACTGTTACATAGGTAACAGTATCTTTAAACAGTATAAAATCTGGTCACGTGGTCTATTTTCTAAATAAAATGAAATAAAATGGCCGCCATTTTTTTCTCGATTCATTCTTATTTTCAACGTTAAACCCCGATAGGACATTAATTTCTTCCCTGGAGTAACTATGACACTCATACAATTTAGTTGTTTGCAATCTGGTGTGCTTTCCGCGTATAAAATATCTTTTTGTAGAATAGTCAAAAAATGAACATCCGTTTTCAACGGAAGTACTTGCAATGTAAATACAGTAATTATGTGTCAAACTGGAACATGCAGACGATTTAAGCATGCAACAAATGATTATTTAACAATTTTAATCAGTGAAACGTTACAGATATGGTGGACAGACACAATCATCGTTATTTTGTCAAAAACCATGCTAAGAATATTCTGGAAACAGAAGGATCAGATTTCACAGGTCATAACCATGGGTTAGTGTTTTGTTTTCTAAATAAAACCTAGCTTATTGTATGTTTATGATTTGTAGATATCATCACTTGCTTAAAGAATAAAATAAAAATAAAACTTCTCAAGTAGGCCTAGAGTTCATTTAAAACTTTAAAACTTAAAAGGTAAGGACATTTTAGTTATTGTTACTCTTGGTTTATTTTTTTTACAGTTAGATTTAGTTGACAATTTCAAATCATCACATTAGGCTACGCCTCGGGTAACAGTATTTTCCTCGGGATGATATTTTACTGTTACCCACAAACCCATGTGTTATTTATATATTTTTATCTTCTATATCTTCTAGGTTGTTTTATTTTCTTCAGAAAAAACGAAAAACAATTTAAAAGTATTAGTAGATATGCAAAAGATACACAATCGTATTGTTTTTTCTTTTGTTTGTTTCTTTTAACCATAAACAATTTTAATATTTAGCGTTAAACATATATTGTTGTATTTATATTCTTATATTATATTACCCACATGCAATGGTCGCATGTCATAGGCTAATTTAGCCATGATATGATATATTTGATATATCTGACTATTTACGTCGTCAAACCAAGTTGATGATCAATTAAATGCCATGTAGCATGAACAATTCAGATAACTTACCATCAGATTTAATTAATAAGGTTGTATAATGCTTTTAGCAATCATAACAGTCAATAATGTATCACTTTATGTTGATATATTGTGTTAATGTTATGCATATGCCAGACGTTGGAGGAAAATATAATAAAAAGTACACCGTGAATAATGGAAAGTACAAACTTTACACCGGGTGTCCGATTGTACTTTATAACAACAAATTCTATAGATTCAATTTTTCAGAGATAATAGTTCAGTCGGAGTAACTTTCTGTAAACGGAGATAATATTAAGATATAAAATATGCAATATGGACAGAATTTCTAGTAAGTGTAACCAGTTGTCCCAGTTTCTTGTGTTGGAACTGTCAGTTTAGGGGAATCAAGATGAAAGTTTAAGAAGATGGTAGAGTCTAGTAAAGAAAGACTTTATAAACAGGATCATAATTCATACAGAAATAAATCCCGACAATTACCAATTAATTAATTTTGTAGTTACTTGGATCTTAAATCATCAATACTTACAACAATACTTTGAAAAACCAGGCAGATCCCATTCACGTCAATAGTTTTTTTGATATAAAATGCGATGCACAGACGAGCATGTCTGTTTCACGCAATTACTTTATAACAACAAATTCTATAGAGTCAATTTTTCAGAGATAATAGTTCAGTCGGAGTAACTTTCTGTAAACGGAGATAATATTAAGATATAAAATATGCAATATGGACAGAATTTCTAGTAAGTGTAACCAGTTGTCCCAGTTTCTTGTGTTGGAACTGTCAGTTTAGATGAATCAAGATAAAATTTTAAAAAGATGGTAGAGTCTTGTAAAGAAAAACTTTATAAACAGGTTCATTATTCATACATAAATACATCCCGACAATTACCAATTATTTCATTTTGTTACTTGAATCTAAAATCATCAATACTTACAACAATACTTTGAAAAACCAGGCAGATCCCATTCATGTCAATAGTATTTTTGATATAAAATGCGATGCACAGACGAGCATGTCTGTTTCACGCAATTAATTTTCTTGAGAGGACTTTGAATCATTTTTGAAGGAATTGATAAAAAGTTTTTCTGTACATATGTAACTGAGTCAAGATGTACAAAATCCACATATTTCAAACAACATATGTGTAGGCCCCTGTCTGCTACTGAAGAATATAAAACCGTCTTACTGTCCAAATTAAAAAAAAAGTTTCATCATTGTGTATTATTATACAATAATATATTCAAATATATTTGTTTTGTTTTTATTATAAAAAAGCTGGTTAAATTTTGTTGATAAGTGTAAAGCTGAACATTAATAAAAAATAGAAGTAAGTGTGCATTTTTATAATAAGACTACTGTAAATTGCAGTTAAAATTAACACAATATGAGCGTTAAACTGGAAACTATATCTGCAGCCATATGTTTCTTCATATGTTTTTGTCCATATGTTTTTTAATGAAACAAGCCTTTGGTATGTACTATTCTCATAGTACTTATAATGTTCTGCAATGTGAGAAAATATGTATAACTAATTTACACAGCGGTAAACACAGATCTAAAAGTTCATCAAAAATAATATCTCTACTTATAATTATAATATTAAAATTGCAATATTAGTAACGATTAAATAGAGACATAGACTTTTCTCTAATAAAAAGTAGTTGAAAGAGAACTGATCGAGAGAAAAAGCAACAAAACAACGGAATACTTCTTGTAAAATTATTAGTATTTCTTCACTTTATGTTGAGTTGAATACTTTTCTAAAATGAAGTTTCGCAATTTAAAGCTATAACTGTTACAGCTAAATATACATTGATAAGGAGTGAATTGAATTTATAACCTTAACAATTTAAAATATGTGGTCTATTTTCATATAAATCTTAACCACTTTCTACAGTATTTATACATTTTATACCTAGACAAATTAAGTCGGGTAACTTAAATTGTTTAAAAGATGTTTGTTTATCATATCGGATTAAAACTATTGTGATATTGTTTCGATAATCGATCCACCTATAGCTAAACGGCTTTAGTTATCTAACCAGGAATTGCTTTTTAAGTATCAAGTGATCGACATGATTTCCGAAACAGCGGTGAGAGACAAATGACAATTGGGTCCAATGTCTGAGATCAATTATCAAGGAGGAATTTCGCCACGCCCGATGATCGAGCCAACGGCTCTTAAGTCCTGATTCGATCGATGAGCTTTTCAGTTTGAGCTAAGCGAGCGGACAAGACGTATTTACAATATTATTGAACAGATTATTTTAACAATTATGACCGGATATGTCTATACAGTAGAAACATGTTTTTTTCATATTCGAAAACAATTTTAAGAGAAAAGTTTACAATAGATTGAAGGTATATTGGATATTGCTTTTTACTCTGTGGTAATGTGGCAGCAGGTTTCCCTATAAAAGCTGTAGAAGTCTTCTACTGCGTCAGTTTTGCTCATTATTGGACTAATGTTTTACCTAGTGAAGCTGAATCATGTACTTATTGGTTAATTTACATTTTTAATTGGTGAGCAAGAATTTAACCAATAATGTTTTTATTAATTAATTCACAAATAATACAATGTATAACGTTGTTGGTAGTGTTATGATTATTATAATGATTCTGGGAAATTTGGAAAATTTTACTGTAATCTATACATATGTTACGAATAGGAAAATTCGTACAGTAGATAATGTGTTTATTGTCGGAATTGCTGTCAGTGACATGGGACAAGCTATTTTAGGAGTACCACTTGTTGTTGCATCTAGTTTTAGTAAGCATTGGATATTTGGATATAGATCATGCCAGTATTACGCCTTCATTACAACTTTTCTAGGAATATCTCAAGTTGCTTTGTTAACCTCGTTAGCAGTAGATCGGTACTTTATAATAGTGCGATGTAACAGAAAACTGTCGAATTCGTTTTGTCGGAGTATTTTGACAATAACAACTTCGTTCCTTTTTGGTTTCGGATGGGCTTTAGGACCGCTTGTCGGTTGGTCAAGCTATGAAGAGGAAATTAAAGGAATAGCATGTTCTGTCAGTTGGGAAATTAAAGACAATAATCATCTTTCATAAACATTCAGTTTGCTCACATTTGGCTGGTTTATTCCACTATTCATAATTGGTTTTGGTTATACAAGTATTGCTTGGACGGTAAGTTATTGTAGAAAATTTACTTTTATATTGGTATTGAAAATAGATATCCTTAGTATTTTAAAATGACTTCTGTAGAATGTTTAACAAATAGAAAGTAAAATTTAACGTAAAGCATACAAATGAATAAAGAAGATGCCCATGTAAAAATTGTATCAGTGAATAACATTCTTTTAGAAATATTTGCATCATAAAAATATTCAACCACTTCAAATACAGCACAAGTATCCATAAACCTTCAATATATGATCATTTTACGATTCAAATATGATAACAAAAAAAAATGCAACAATCCGACAATTCCGTAAGTATTGCAGAGCATCTATCTGTCTTAATTAGAAATCTAATGCTATCTATGGTATTATATCTTTCAAAACATTTTGTAAATCTGAAATAGAGTAGATTCACAAAAACATTTAAACAAGTAATCATCGTAGGAACGCGAGTATCACATTTATGTTTTTGTATACGACAATTTCATGCATATTTTGTTGTATGCATTACCCTTTACCTTATTTACACAGATACTTTTTTACAATTTTTATATATTTTCTTAATAGAATGAATGACATTTACATCCTCGTTCAAATTAATTTACAATATTGGAGAAAATTTATGTACGTGGAAGATAAAACATTTCCTTCAAATAACAAATGACCTTGATATTCATCCAGAAATGTATTTTTCATTAACAGTGGCAGGACCAAGTAAAACATTAGATTACATATACATGTAACACAATAGTACCTGTACAATTTGTAAATTGGCGAGGAAATTTTGTTCGTTCACAAGCTTGTGTTTTGACCAATAATCTTTGGATATGTTTATGGCTTGTTATGGGCAATTTTATGTGATCGATTGAACTTAATTGTTTTCAGTTATTTTTTCTTGACGGTTACAATCTCCCAGTATTTAATACCTAAGAGCTTGTAAATACATTCACAGAGATCAACGAATCTCAAATTGTGACATCTGACTTTCTGACGCATGAATGTTGCAAAAGAAAAAATAAACTGTAAATAAACAATACTTAGCTTATGTCTCAGATTTAATCTCCTAAAGGTTAACTTGCTATTCACGCAAGTAATATTGTTAGAGAGAGCAAAGGAGTCTCGACACCAATGTTACGTTTGTGGGAAGAAAAATTGTAAAAATGACCTACAAAACTTATATTAATGGCCAGTTAATCAACACATTTTAAAGTGTCAAATAAGCCTGTATAGTATTATCACCCTTTTAAAGAATATATTAAAGTAATAAACTTTTCAACTTCTTTTAATTGCTGTTTGTATCATTTATATATTCCTGTCTTATGTTTCATATGATTTATTCAAAGGATTCCCGAGCTTCCATTGCGAAATTGAATCTTGTCTTATTTATGGCCACTTAAGGCAATTTTGCATGGCAATAAAAAAAATGATCAAGGCATTGTGTTACTTACAGATATATCAAGAAAAGTCTCTCCATCAACACTTACGGAAAAAGTCGGTCCGGAGGTCAAGTAGAGACAGGAAGTGTCTGTAACTTTATTTTTAATGATTGGTGAGTTACTTTGTCTACAAACATATAGAATATAAAACTGTATTGAAATAATAAAAATAAAGCATTTTAAATATACCAAGAGAATATTATTTACGTTAAACTGTTTTGCATAAAATCATGTTGCATTAATATGGCATATCATAATAAAATTATTCTCTAGAATTCTTTTATTAATAGGTGCTTTTATTTTATCGTGGCTGCCATATTCTGTTGTGTCGATGTGGTCAGCTTTGGGAATCTACAAATCTATTCCTGCTTGGTCACAGGTAGCCCCGGCTGTGTTTGCTAAATGCTCAATTATTTGGAACCCTATTATATATGTGGCAAGACACAGTTGCTTTCGGAAGGCGATCAAAGAGAAAATTGTATGTTTTACACACATGAATATATTAACTATAAAAAGGAAAACAGACAGAACAATAAACTTACTATATCTTAGTATGATTAACAAAAACAAAACAGAAGAAACATGTGGTGAAAACGTGTTATTGGATTCAAATTTTCACAACAACCAATCATGTGGCGATTTGGTTGAAACACTGTACATTGACGCATCTGTAAATGATAAGTTGGATATGTCTGATATGGTTTAGCCACAAAAACCAATGTGAATTTAATCAACAAAAAGCAACAAAACAAAAGAATATACTTCATACAAGATGACGAAATGTGTGCCAGAAATATTAAATGTTGCATCTTTTGGATCGTTCATTAAACACATTTCTAATTGAACACCTCACTGACAGGGAAAATATTTAAAAACTGTTTAAATTTGTTTGTATTGATTAAATATGACATGTTCTATCTTTTCACACATAATAACTTTCACAGAAATTGTTTGATCTGAACATAAAAATATAATTTGCAAGAAATAAAAGCACAAGACACAAACCTTTGACAGGAATATAGCTTTTTTAAAATACCAGTTAAATTAAACAAAATAAATACTTACTTAAACTAGAATATGTGTTATATCATTATATATGAATAGTTCGTCCAACAAAACATTAGATGGAGTCGGTGGGTCTCTTTGTAATTGAGGCATTTTAGAGCATATGAATGTTTGTGTTTTGTTTTCAAGTAAACTGGTTACTAGTTTCAAACTTTCATATTTTCTTTTTAGATTTTAGCGCGTGAACATTGAAATACATGCTTCTTTATAAACCCTTTTCATGAAATTACTTCATAGCATATCATTTTTTTATGACGTCACAAATTAAATAAGGTATCAGGGTGCATTCAAATAAAGATACGCAAATCTCAGGTCAAGCAAATGGAAATTTTATATTGATATTTAACTAACTTTATATAGGATTTTTTCTGTAATCAACATTTTTTCAAATGGACGAACTGCTTTTAAGTTTCACCTAAGTCGAAAATCAATCAATACTTTATTTGAATTGTCTGTATACTCACCTAATATAACAAAAAGTTAAAAATACTGTTTCAAGTTAGGTTTGATAAATGTAAAACAACAGTTTAACATAAGAACCGCCACTTATGCATCATAGTTTGCATAAGCAATTAAACTCTAATTTATTCATACGTACATTAATTAACCTGGAACAAATCAAGAGAAAAATAAGATTTTCCTCTTGTTTTAGTTCATTTACTCTTGACGTTTATTGTAGAATTAAAACAATTTGCGATTCTGAAACAATAGCTTGAATGTATTGATAATTATAATTGATTTTGGTGTGTCGTATTTCTGAACTGATCGTATGTGAAAAAAAGAGAACGCTCAGAGCGGATAATCTCATTTATTTTAAATCAAACAGAAGGAAGATGTTTTTCTCTGTCGAAAAGCATTAGGCTTAAAGTTTCATACTCCCGCTGGGAAAACGATTTTTTTATGTGAGACGTCGAGACATAAGAAATTACTAAGACACAAGCATTGGACAAGTTTGAGTTTAAAAATTCTCATTTAAAGAAGCACGAAAACAAAACAAGCATATTAAATTGTAGCCCCGGTTTTATGTAATGATTAAACATGAAAAATATATCACGCATCCTAGCATCACCTTAAGCTACGTTCAGTTATCAATACTTGAAGTTATTGAATTAACCGTCTCAAATGACTTTAACAGATAAAACATAATTAAATCCAAACATTTACGCAAAATGATCTATCAAGATACTCCATGAATAGGACTAAATCAAAACCGAGAATGTTGAAAAGGATAAAATTCATTTTTAACGTATTTACATGTATATAAGCTAATAATAAATATATATTTACGTTAATGGGCATTGCATCCAGGTTCCAATCTTTATTTACACGTTAAATGCGCGTTGGTGAATCATAAAACATTTTATTCCGTTTGTAACCTTCTTTAATTCATAATCAATGTTTTTGTCTAAAACCTGTTGCACGGAACACTTCTTACAATACCTCTATGCAAGTATAATTTTATTACATTTTATTAAAGGAATACTCAGGCAAACTAATCACAAAAATATTAAAATGGTTTTATGTACTCAAATAGCGCTTAAATGACAAATTTTAAAGTCCGCGCATGAATTTCTGTATAAATTCTATATATTTTTGGTTTTAAGTGTATACATATCTATATATGTTGAACGAAATTTAGACACCGAGGGAATCACCGAGCAGTTTTAAAACAAGTCATGTGACATAATCGAACCTCGGAGGTTACAATAACAGATATTGCAGATATTGTATGATTGAAACAAGTCTACATCGTTCATTTGACATGTTCTTTAACGTTTCCAGAGATCACTTTGTCAATTATCGTGAAATATTAACGTTTTAACCTGACCCACGTGTGTCAAGTTAGGAAACCACCATTTTATCCCTTACAAGGAGAAACATTTTGTTTTGTGACTGCCTTGTGTATTTGTTTTGAGGACATTTACAGTATAATGAATGAAAAATACAAAAACGAAGAAACATAAGTGCCTATGATTTCAACTGATTATGAACGTCACGTGACCTATTATGAGTTTGCGGCCCGGGGCCGAGAACTAGTTATCAGCCCGCTGAACATGTGCATGTGCAAAAACTGAAACAATGACGTCATATTTTACGTCATCAAACAGTTAACTGTAAAAGTGAAAGTAGATTTTAAGCACGAATCGCTTGATTTTATTATGAGAGCTTAACACAGTTTTTTAACTATTGAAATTTAAACTTTAAGAAATAATACAACACATTCATTCCAAAAAAAAAAAACGAAAATAAAACTTGCTTCTAGATTCTAGTGTACTTTGCACACACAAAAAGTAAACAACTCTGTAGAAGCTACTGTACAGTAGATATACAGGTCTACAGGAATTTCAACGAAAAAAAATATCAAAATATTTTTTAAGAAAAAATGCTACTATTAGATCTACCAAGTTTATTAAAGACATTAATACACGTCATAGTTGTGCCAGAAGATGATAATCGGCCCTGAAATGAATAATGCCCTCGGCCTGAAGCCCCCGGGACAATTATTCATTCTGCGGGCCGATAATCACCTTCCGGCCCTACTCTGCCGTGTATTAATCTCTTATTATTGCAATGTGCATAATTATGTGTCTAGATGGAATAAGCAGACAATTAAGGCATGCAACAAAGAATTATCTAACGAGTTTAATCAGTGAAACATGACAGGTGTGGTGGACAGATGTAGGATATCGTAAATGCACATTGTCAAAAAACATGTAAAGAATGTTTTGCTCTGTAAATGAAACATAGGTTATATTATTGAATGTTTATGACTGGTAGATATCATCATCATAAAAGAAAAGAAAAAATAACTCATCCTCGGCTATCGCCTCGAGTAACAGGATTTTCCTCGGGTGATTGTTTTACTTTTCGCCACAAACGTATGTGTTATCCTTATAATATAGAGACAAATTTTAAAAAAGTTAAATAAAATAATAATAATTAAATAACAATATACCTTGAATACAATATTAAATTACATTCGCCTTCTAGCAAACGAAACTATATTCCACAAGGCGAAAAGAAAATGTAATTTATGTATCAAACAAATTTTGTTTCAAGCATTTCTAATAATAACGTACATGAGTCCGGGACAGAAAAGATTAAATCATGGTGTCGGGCTATATATACATGAATCAATACTGTCTGAAAAAAAAACTGAATAGAACAAATAAGATGCCATAGTCATTTAATGATTTGTTAAATTATTAACTTAAATGAGATCGTTGACTCATGAGACAGAAATTCACTTGCCTTTTCATACTCATATATAATCTTGGATTTCTTTGATTTCTTTGTCGGTTACTACTATTTCTTCTTATGTATCATTGTAGTGATTAGCATATCCGTGCTTGCGCACTGTCCTGTCTTTGTTTGGAGTCCTCCTGGGCTCTTTGCCACTGGTTCTTGTTGCTGCGTCGTGTAGGGATTTCATTCATTGAACGCCTCCTTTCCTTATTGATCTTGTTTATTATATTCTATGCTCTGTAGCGTTACATGTGATAACTGTTGACAAAGGTGCATAACCAATATGTATAGCTTAATTGCCTTTTTTTCTCTTTCTACGATCAGGAGTGCATTCATTTCATATATAGAGAGAAACAAGTATATAAATTTATATGAAAAAGAGAGAATAGTAAAAAATTTTTACTCGGAGTTTTTTTATTCACTTTTATTTCAAACATTTAAATGCCATACCTTTTTAAAATGTCTTAAAAATATACGAACATATGCCTATATGAACTTTTCATTCTATTTTCAAATAATTTTACAATAAGAAATAAACAGCTTCATGAGATCTCTGGAATTTTTTCTGGCCGCGGCAGGTGTATATTAAATTGTTATTTTTCTCTTTTCTCTTTCATTTTTATTAATTTACATAAACCATGTCATGTATTTCCCTTTGAAAATTTAAATCGTATTATGTTACAAATATTTAAATCATAATAATGCTGTGAGAAGTGAATTAATAGATATCAAAGTTGTATTTTGATGCTAAAATAGTTCATCATTTACAATAAATTTGTATTTTACTATTTTTCGAATAGTCTATGAATAATTGAAAAAATGTCCTCTTCAAATCTCCAATGCAACGATAGCTACAAAATGAACAGTTTCACAAAGAATTATTAGAAACAGTCATAATAAAAGTACAAGATCAAGATTTGCCCCGAAACATAATTTCCCTACTTATTTTTGTTATTTTACAGTTACTGTAGCAATGTAAGTAATGGTTTAGTAGAGACATATTGATAACCATTTTCAATAAAAGAATAATGATAACAGCATAATTCAATAATAAAAATAGTTGAACAA